ACACAATGCCTTGGGGCTGGGGATGTGGCTCAAGCGGTAGCGCGCTCGCCTCGCATGCGTGCGGCCCGAGTTCGATCCTCAGCACCACATACCAACAAAGATGTTGTGTCCGCCGAGAACTAAAAAATAAATATTAAAAATTCTCTCTCTCTCCCTCTCTCCTCTCTCATTCTCTCTTAAAAAAAAAAGATAAAAAAAAATAAAATAAACACAATGCCTTTATTTTACTTATTTATTTTTATGTGGTGCTGAGAATCGAATCCAGGGTCTCACACATGCGAGGCGAGTGTTCTACTGCTGAGCCACAACCCCAGCCCTCATGGGTTATTATTAAAGAAAGTGTGTTTTAGTTTAGATGGAGTGAGAACCAGTAATATTGCACAGGTTGGGACTTCTTTCACCTAATTATTACAAGACTGCTTCAAGGTGGACAGTGTCTTCGCTTTAGGGGGGCACCCAAAAGGGTAACTCACCAGGCCAAGGTCACATGAGTATTAAATAATAAGTAAAGTCTGGAGCTGAGAACAAATATTTCTGGTACCAGATGACTATTTTCATTACAGTATGCTGTTATGATTCCTTCAATTTCCCCTTATTCTTTTATTCTTTTTATTTGTCAGAGAAGTTGCAAGTCTCTTTCCCTATGCTACTTCTGTTTCTCCTCTTTCCTCTTCTTCCTCTACATTTTTCCTTTATTTCCTCTACTATTTGATGGTTAGATTTGACCCAAAACACTTCATCACATATTTTTTAAAAACAAGGACATTCTCTACCTTCATAATATAATTACCTCCCTAAAGAAAGTATTATATACTATTATCAGATCTAAATTTTAAATTCCAAATTGTTTCCATAAAATCCTTTATAATTGTATTTTGTCTTAACCAGGATCCAGTCAGAGATCTCTTATTTCATTTAGTTGTTATGTCCATGATTTCTAATTCCTAAAATTATAAAGGGATTTTATAAGGCATATACACATAAATAATGATCTGAGAAGAGGAATTTAAATTTTTGGTTTATATCCTGCTGTATTATTTTAAAATGTTTTTCAATGATCAATTGAAAAATAGTACAATATATGCAGTTTTTAAGTGAATATATTTTTGAGTGAAAGGACCAAATTTTAAATAATTTATAATTTTCATGAAATATTGGTATTTCTGGTTAGTATCTTTTTTCTTACTACAATGCAGGTTCCCTATTTATTAAAAAAAATATTTGGTTTTATGTAACAACACATTGGATTATGAAATGCTGAAAACAGTTATTTATATTTCACAATGTAATTGTCAATTTACTCTATTTTGCCTAAAAAGTATGTCCTCCAACTTAAAATGCCTAAAGAAGTCATTGGTACTAAATCACAATTTGATTAAAGGAAAAGAAATTAAGCATTTTTAAGGGATTTTAGAGGAGTTAGTCCATTTTCCATTGCTATAATGAAATATCTGAAGCTGGGCACTTATAAAGAAAAGAGATTTATTAGCTCACAGTTTTGGAGGCTGGAAAGCCAAGGTTGAATGGCTTCATTTATTGAGCTTCTGGTAAGGGCCTCATGGTAGATGGCATCGGCAGGAGCCATTTACTCTTTATAACAACTCGCTCTTTCAGGAACTGGGGTTGCATGAGAACTACATTAACCCCATCTGAGGTCAGCACCCTGGATGATGATCCAAGCACTTCCTACTAGACCCTTCCCCTTGAAGTTACCCTTCCTCAACACTGCCACACTGAGGACCAAAATTCCAAACAAGTGAACGCTTGGAGGACAAACCACATCCAAACCTTAGCAAGGGTTACCATACATAGTTACTGTAAAATTTTGTAAAAAAAAAAAAAAGATATCTCTGAAAATATGTGTGCTATTCCTTGGAAATATATTTTCTTTGGGGTAAGATGTACAGTTTTAAAATCAGAAGACATCATTTCAAACCAAGAATCAACTACTCACTACATATGTAACTGAACCAGTCATTTCACCCCTTTGAACCTCATTTTTCTCACTCTTAAGTGGGGGGTTATAGTATTTACTCTTTCAAGATATTCTAAAGAAGATTTAAAACATGGGAGACATTTTACAAAGTCTAGGACACACACAAACACATACATAAATGTTAATTTTTCATATCCAAATGCTATAAAATAATATCATATTCTCCCACTTGACAGAAACTGTTTAAGAATTTTTAAGATAATCTCAGCTAGAGAGATTAATTCCATAACTGGCTAAGTGCATTCCTCCTGTGTTATTTTTTAATTTAAAAAAAAAATCTATCACTATTATTACTATCAATCACATCTCTTCAGTAGCGATTTGATTAAAGAACCATTTCATGTTAAATAAATATGGGATTTATTTTTCTTCCTTAGGCATACAACTATTAACATTTTTATGTTTCATATATAACAGAAAATGAAAAGCATTACAGTGGAAGAGAAAACTATGTTAAGAATCTCTCTGATTTGAGTGGAAAGTTTTCATCTGTTAGCACAATATTGGTTTGAAATATTTGCTTTTGGTCAAGAGACTCTAATAATGCTAGTGCCGATTAGCCAGTTGATCTTATTAGCTGTTGTAATTCATGTTAGAAAGTTTAAAAGCCTGATAGTAAGGTAAAAATTAAGGCAAACCTATACCCATGTAAAAATGATGTTAAATAAAGCTAGATAATTAGATAAGATGAGGTTTTTGGATGAAGACAGAAGGATATTTTTCTTCTTATTTTTGAAGAATTTTTGTCTCTAAATATTAACACATAAAAACAGTATCTTTTTTTTTTTTTTTTTTGGTGGTGCTGGGGATCAAACTGATGGCCTTGTACATGCAAGGCAAACACTCTACCAACTGAGCTAAATCCCCAACCTAAAGATATAAACTGAGGATAGACCTTATAATTCTGGCAAATCCAAGTTAAAAATGTTTGTGTATTGTTACTAGTTTCTCTTGTTAAAAAATTTTAAAGTTCTTATTTTCACATTTGATTCTAGAGGCCTAAAAAGTCTTGTTTCCTTCACAGAAAAGAAAGAATCCAGCAGAATGGTTTTGATCAATAAAATATGTTTGCTAAATCATGAGTGCAAGGTTGACCAGAGCCAGATCGTCTCGATGGTAAACTCTAATCTTGAGTGAATCACTTCAGTTCCTACACAGGTAAAATAAGATGCCTTGAGTTCTCATAGTGATCACATCTCCATTTACTGGTGTCCACCACAGTGAGTTTTTCCAAACATTCCAATTTCTTGTGGGTTCTTCCTCTTCTTTAGGTGACAGAACTCTGTGAATTCAATCTGGAAGAATCTGTTTTAGTTGGATTGACTCTCTTTTTGGAACTTCAAAAGTGGGACGTGTCCAGGCCCAGCAGAGGAAGACGTTTCATGGAACAGGTTACCTTCTGGTAGGTAAAAATAGAAGAAATGGCAGGCATGGCAGCATGGGCCAGGTCTCCATCTTGTACCTTCAGTTCACAAAACAGTTGACCTTACAAGTGTGTGACACATACCTGATGGATCTGTGCAAAACAGCACAGGTGTGCACCACGATCAGGATCCCACGGGATCTCCCTTCATTTTACCTAAAGGAGTAGACTCATTTGTTTTAAAGTGACTTAGTACTGCAGTCTTTCCAAGTTTGGAAACATCACTAGGAAAATGTTGAGAACAATTTTGTCAAAAATAGAAAGTGTTCTTATTCAAATATATTTCTGAAATGTTGATTATTAGCATAAGTAGGGGTAGAACTGGGGTAGAAGTGTGTGCAATTAACATAATCTAGTGTCAGATTCTGCTACATGAGCCCGCAACGTTACTTGGCTCACCACAAGCTTAAAATCCAAACACTGCCATAGCTTGTCAGTTGGAATTTATTTCCCTTTTTAAGGGCTCCATCCAGTCCCTCAAGGCTGTTCAGTCTCAAGCAATATTAAACATATAAAACTACCTCTTAATCATTTGCTTATCTCAAACCTCCTATCAGTTCTTTGCTGTTACTAGATGAGTTGCTAGCAACTAAAAACTCTGATATTATCATGTGGAAAGAAAAGTAGTTTGAAAAAAAAAGAAACACAATAGAACACAAAGTTCCTCCATGAAATGCTGACTTTGAGTGTAGCATAGACAAAGCGGTTATTCATAAATCTGAGGTAACATTCTTTTAAATTTTATTTAAAGAAATGTTATAGTAGCTGAAACTGGAGTATACAAGTATTTCCATAACATGTCATTTTTTCCTCCAATTCAGATACATAGACTTATTATTATAAAGTTCTTCCTAAGGTTTTCCATTTTACAGTAGCAAGCATTTCAACATTTATTTTGGGGGAAAAAAAAGATGCTTAGAAAATTTTGTGAATTTTTCTAGTAAGTAAACCAATAATTAGGCCTAGAAACATGAAAATTGTCCAGTGCTTCTCCTTACCCTTATGTCAAGGCGCCATGACAGTCAATTTGTTTCCATTTTTAAAAAATTTTACATGGGAATTTTGTTCTAATAAGAGGAAGGGAAAGAAATATATGGGGAACACAGGGCTATTCTACAAGTTTGTAAAACTTGGACTGAACCATCTTATTAAAAACGCATGGTGTGCTGGACAACTTGCTTCTACTGGGTTTGCCAGAGCTAGAAAGTGGGGCTGAGGATGGGAAGGGGAAATTGGAGATACAGAGGGAAGTAGACATGAAAGACCATACAAAGTTGATTATTTTAGTTTGGGAGTTTATAAATGTCTTAAGAACGAGAAATCCTTTTTCATCTAAGTGTTTTAAAATGTGGGTCCCTATACAACAGTAATTTTATTTTGGTCTATTTCATTTTCAGACCATGCTCGGGACCTCTATGAAATCATAGACCCTTTACAATAACCCTTAATCCCTGGAGCCTGCCTCCTCCTCTCGCCCCAAGATCTGAGGCTGGGACGTAGCTGTTTTCTATTTGTGGATGGGTAGCATTGTGAGTCACAGAACAATTCTGTCTAAATAGAATAAACTTTAGATCTCAACTTCTACAAGAGACTGAATTGAATGGCAGAGGGTGTTTTCTGCTGTCTTATTACAGAGTTGCAGAATCAAGAGGACTTAATATGCTGGTAATGGGACAAATAGATTTAATAAGGATGAAAGGAGAGTGACCAAGACAGGGGGAATCATTCTCCCTCACCCTAAAACCTAGTGCATATGGAAATTTATGAAAACTTGGGAACAGTTAGGCCAATGACAATCCAAGGAAGAGGCAGACTGTTCCCTTCCCTTCTGGCCTGCCCAACACCAAGGAACCTAATTCATAAAGATCAGGGCTGCTCAGATTTGTCTGCTTTCCCGTCAGGGTTTCTTTTCCTTCAGTTCTTTTAACCATCGTGGAAATGAGGTCAGTACTCTGTGATTGTCATTTTGTTCCAAATTCTTGAAATATTTTATTATTTACAAAGGTTTCCCTACGGACTTAGGACAGGAAAAAAATATAAATGTGCAAAACCTGAGAGACTTAATAGTAAAAACTTGGGTTATCATGGCTTTGATTAGACAAAGGTCATTCCCAAAGTATTTTTTAAAAATTAAGAAACAACTTTAGAATAGTTTTATTTCATTTACTGACATATAAATAATGTATTCATTGCTAAAGATTTAGAAAATGACACACACAAAAAAAATACCCAAAAAGTAAAAAGAATAAAACAAAGACCACCCCACAAGTCATCACCCAGAGACAATCTCTGTTGAGTTTTGAAATCTATCTTTCCAGATTTTCTTGATATACCCTCCCATTCAGACATACACCCACATCTTTTAAGGGGATCAAACTAGTTTTTTAACAACCTGTCATGAGATCTAATATTGTGACATCTTTTCACTTTCGTGTACTTAAAACCACATTATTCTCTCAAATACTGCATCATATAAAATTGTATCATAATTTAACCCATCACCTGAAAGATGTTATTAGCATGCTTTTCTATTTTTTCACTATTATAAGGAAGGCTGAGGGTACACATCTTTGAACATACATCTTCAAATTCACATCCCATTATTTCTTCTTAGGAGTGAATTGCTAAGTCAACCAGTTGGCATAATTAAAATTCCAATACATGTTGTTAAACTGCCTTGCAGGAAGCTTATACCAATTATACTCCCACTCTCAGGATGTCTCCACCATGCCAACACTGAAATCTGGCTGGTTTATTTTTTTTTTATGGTTACTAGTAATAAACAAATAAACATATCTTGTTGGTTTTATTTAAACAAAATTGACTACTGAGACGGGATTTACTTTCTGATGCCATTAGCAATTCTTTTTTTTTTTCCTCTTTTGCCATTTCCTGTTGACCTGTGAGATTTTTTTTTTCCTTATGGATTAACCTTTTGTATATATGGGCATAAGTCTAAGTCTCTGTCAACTATAAATTCCATAAGGGCCAAAATCATCTTCTTCATCACAATATGATTAACCTCTAGTGTAATGCTTGACCCAGGGTGGACCCTCAGAAATATCTGTCAAATAACTGATCTTGCCCATCATATATATTATATTTTCCCACTTTGTCATGGGTCTTTTTTTAAAAAATTAATTATTTGTATTTATAAATGATAGCAGAATGTATTATAATTCTTATTACACATATAGAACACAATTTTTCATATCTCTGGTTATATACAAAGTATATTTGTTATGGGTCTTTTCATCTTATTTTTTATTTTTCCCCATCCAAAAATTTTTAAATTTCTATAACAAAAATCTATTAATATACTCCTTTATGAAAATAAAGTCATACCATTTTCATGTCAAGATTATAAAAATAACAATAAATATTTATGTAACACTTCTTGTGCCAAGAACTATTGCAAACATCATGAGGTTCATTCTTTTAATCCTTCTAATAAGATTTTTGTCTAGTAGACCATGTGTACCAATTCTGCTCTACCCCACTCCCAATTCCCAATTATTCTTCCTTTAAAAATTTTATCTAGCTATTGCTCTCAATTGATTTCATTATTTTTAATACATAATATACTCACATTTTCAAAATCAGAAGGAGGAAAATGGATAAACTGAGATTTTCTCTCTCCCTGTTATGGTTTGGATCTATAATGACCTCCAAAAGGCTAATGTGCTAGAGGCTTGGTCCTCAATGCAGCAGTGTCCAGAGGTGCAGTTTTTAGGAAGCAATTGTATTCTGAGGGCTCTGTTCTCATCAATGCATTAATCCATTGGTGGGCTCATGGTTGATGACAGTTTGGGGAGGTGGTGGAAACCTTAGGAAGTGGGACCTAGTTGGAAGAAGTTAAGTCACTGGGGGCAAGCCCTGGAAGGGCTTTTCTTGTCCCTGGTATGTCTGTCTGTCTCTCTCCCACTTTCTCTCTATTTCCCAGTTACCATGAGATGAGCAGCTTTGATCAACCATGATCTCCCACCATAATATACTGCTTCAACCACAGACCCAGAAACAATGGAGCCTACTGACCATTGGCTTAAACTCTGAAACTGTGAGCCAAAATAAATATTTCCTCCTTTAAGCTGTTTTTCTCAGGCATTTTATCACAATGACAAAAAGCTGACTAACAGTCCCCTTTATTTCAATAGTCCTTGTTTTCTTCCTCTGTGAATATATGTGTAATTTCTCTGTTTTGTTTTGTTTTCAAATCATGGCCTGCTCTATATACTGTTCTTCAGTCTGCTTATTTTATTTCACTTAAAATGTCCATATGTGTTTTAAAACCACTTCATCAACTTTTTATTATGATTGAGTTAAATATACAAACTTGGGGAGTGATTTTCATTAAAAAAAAATTTGTAATTGTAGATGGACAGCATGCCTTAATTTTATTTCTTTCATTTTTTTTGTGGTGCAAAGGCTGGAACCCAGTGCTTCACACATTAGGCAAGTGCTCTGCCACTGAGCTACAAACCCAGCCCATGATTTTCATTTTTAAAATATTAAATCTTCTTATTTGAGTATATTATTTCCATTTTTTCCAGATTTCTTTGTGTCCTTCATCAAGGTTTTTAGTTTTATTCTTTTAAATACGAAGTTTTCTTTAAATTTTCTTATAAATACTGTTTGTTTTTGAATAGTTTGTCTTTTAAATCTTTCTCTATGTGATAGGCTAGCAATTTTTATTTTTTAAATTGTATTCACATACTTACCAATAATATTGAGTTCTTTTCATATGTTTATTGATCATTTGTACTCTCTATGACTTCAGCCCCTCACCCTTGTACATCTGAATGACAGAGAAGACTCCAGAAGATCCCAAGGACAACTAAAATCATTGTTCAATATATGAAAATGCTCATTCATTATTCCCATCAAAAGCAATTTCTTTACTTTAACAATAAAATTAAAGGATGTTAATAAGTATACTTTTCCATATTCAAGATCAAAATTACATAGTCTTGCACTAGGGGTGTAGATTGGTGGTAGAGTGCTTGTCTCGAATGTGCAAGGCCCTGAGTTCAATACCAGCACAGCAAGCAAATAAGCAAACAAATACATAACCAAACAAATGTTTTTAAAAATCACAGTCTTCTGTGATACTTTTTTCCCATTATTTCTACTTTCTTTCATTTGCCTAAAGTGTTATAAAAGAAAAATCTACCATGAATATTTCCCTTGTTTCTTCTAACTCTTCCTTATTTTTTTGGAAGTGGGAGTATGGAGGATTGAACTCAGGGACACTCAACCACTGAGCCACATCCACAGCCCTATTTTTAATTTTATTTAGAAACAGGGCCTCACTCAGTTGCTTAGCACCTCACTAAATTGCTAAGGCTGGCTTTGAACTTGCGATCCTCCTGCCTCAGCCTCCCAAGCTGCTGGGGATTTCAGGCATATGCCACTGTGCCCAGCTTAACTCTTTCTTTTTATTGCTTAAAGTTTTTTCAGGTTCTCCATACCTTTGCCTAGCAATAATTGACACCATGGTCTCCCTACCTCCTCTTGCTTTCTTCTCTGCCTGAAGAAGGGACAGATTAATATTTTGGTTGGCTTATCATTTTGATTATGACCAAAAAACCTGACAAGAACAATTTAGAGGAAGAATGGTATATTTTGCCTCCTGGTTTCAGAGGCCATAGCCCAGAGATGGCTGACTCCATAACTCTGAGCCCAAGATAAATCAGAACATCAAGGCAGAATGGTGTGGTGGAAGAAAGCAGCTCAGGACATGGTAACAAGGAAGCAGAGAGCACTTTGCTTACCAGGGACAATATATAAATCCCAAAGGCACAACCCCAGGGACCTCTCTCCTCCAATCACACTCTATCTGCCTGCAGTTACCACCCAGTTAATCTATATCATTGGATTAATCCTCAAATTAGGTTACAACTCTCATGATCTAATTATTTCACTTGTAAAATTCTTGCATTGTCTCACACATGAGCTTTCAGGGGACACCTCATATCCAAACTATAACAACGAAGTATAAATCCATTTATGACCCATTGTATACACTGCTACCGTTTTCTCTCATCTCCCACCATTATTCTACATTTTTCCTACAGTTCAGCAAAATTAAACTACTTAATGTTCCCAAGATTTGATCTGTGCTTTTATGACTCTGGGCCTTTGCTCCTACTATCACGTGTGTCTGGAATGCTCTCCCATTATTTTTTTTCAGTCTTTTGAAATTCCATCCTTTCTTCCAAGCTCACCTGAAATATCATCTCCAAGGTGATATTTCAATATCATCTCCTTTACTAAACTCCCAGAAGAACTTAGTTGCTCTTAAACTGTCCATTTTATTATCACCACTACTAGTAGTTCATAAGTTGATTAAGCACAAAGAACATGTCTTACATGATGATTTGGTGGAAAGGACAACATATGAGGTCAGAAGATTTGTTCAAAGCATCATTGTTTTTTATTGGATAAGGTACTTAACTTACTGAATTCTCAGAATCTTTTAATGTTGGTAATAGTACCGAAATTTATGTTAATGGTACTAATTGGCTTACACGAAGTAAATTTTGTACATGCTGAGTTCTTATCACATTTGTGCATTATGACAATGTATCACTTCAGATGGTAGCAATATTTTCTAAGATATTCCATTGCAATCTAGTCTCAAAAGTAGAAATCATTGTTGGTCTATAGGGAAGATAACAGAATTCTTAAACAATACATTTACAATTATCTAAAAGTGAAAGAGAACCTTAAATATATTGAGCTCCAAAGTCCAGCTTATAGATGTTTTTTGTAGTTTGTAAATAATAATTAGGCTGAGAGAAACCAATGCAAATGAAACTTATTTTTATGAAAGATGCTAAGGTATATGAAGAGAACCCTAAGTTCCTTCTGTCTCCAAGGCAAAGGGCAACGTAATAGGTGCTGAAGACTATAGATTTCTCATGCACCTCACTTTTATTGCTCTCTAAAATAAGTTCTTCAATGATTCATAACAATTTCCAAGTTTCTCCCACAGTGGCACCCCAAAACATAGATGTACCATACTTTGTACATGTGAGCACATGCATGTAAGCCACCTTATCCATCCCAGAGAGAAATAAAACAAGAATGAACGAGTGATTCTGCTTTCACATCACTATCTCCTTTCCATACACTTCTAATTAATCCCCTTCCTGAGACTCAGTGCAAAGGGCCCTGCTTCCACATATCTGAAGAATGGTGTTCCCTCAATCTGTCCCTCTTTTCCTAAGTTTAAATTTCTTTACATTGTCATCCATCCCTTCTACTTTTTTTGCAGTTTTATTGAAACACAAAATAAATTCATTAAAAGGCCTAAATTACACTTGTCTTTAAGTGTAGAGCTCAATAAATTTTTCTCACGTACCTACCCTAGTTGGCCCCTTCTTGACCCCTCCTAACCAATACTCCTCATCCTGTTCCCCACAGAGGCTCTGACTTGGATTACCATAAGTTTTATATATTCTTGGCCATTTAAAAATCATATTTGTAGAGCACTTGTTCAAGACTTTCCCATTTTAAAAATCGAGTTGTATAGTTTTTCTTATTGTTTTGTAGCACTTTTTACATATTCTTGTATGAGACCATTTTCAGATAAATGTCTTAGAATAATTCTCTCTTCCCTACCCACTCTCCTATTGTGTCATTTGATAACAGAAGCTTACTTCCCCCCCCCATTTAGGTCTATAAGGCATCTTGAATTAATTATTGTATATGGAGTGAGGTAGGAGTCAAATATCCTTTTTTTCCAGATGAGTAGCCAATTGCTCCAGCACCATTTGTTCAAAATATTATCCTTTCCTCACTGAACTGCAGCAGTGACTTTGTCGTAAATCAAGTTCTCAAGTTCTATTTCTGGATTCTCTATTATGTTCTCTTGGTGTATTCATTTATCTTTCTGCCAATACCACACTGTGTTAATTATTGAGCCTTATAATAAGTTTTGAAATTTGGTAGGATAAATCTTTAAGCTCTTTTTTTTGAACATTGTCTTGGTTATTCCAGGCCTTTACATTTCCATATAAAACTTAGAACCAGCTTTCAATTTGCATAACGCACACATTTTGCAATTTTCTTCCTTTCTTATATACTTTGCTTCAGAAAATGACCCTTCTCCTAAAATGTTACTCTCCTTTTGTGCCTTCAATGTTGTTCTCAGATGCTTCTCTTGGATGATCAGGAATCATTATCTCATCCTGCATCCCCACCCCTCATCTGCAGCCGAAAAATCTCTTTAGCATCACAAACTCATATGTACTGTTATAAAAATCATCATCTTTCCTCTCATAACTTCTCTTTCTATATTCCCGGATCATCTGACTCCAACATTTAGAGTCATCTTTGCCTCTACATTTTTTGTCTTTGATTCCTCAACATTTGTTCCACCATGGACTGGGGACTGGCTCAGGAATGGGCATGTGGCTCAACTATAACCTTGGAGATGGGCAGGGAGTCAGCTGGGGAAAGTGGGGGGAAAAGTCCTGGGAAATATTTTCCCTTTCTTAAATTAATCTTCTTCCTGTGGACATTGTAGTTCAGATACCTGGAACTACCCCTACCATCTTGCTATTAGGTAAAGAATGATGCAAGCATTGAGATAGCAGGGCAGAAAAGGGAAGAATCTGATTCTTTATAAACTCTTGAAGTCTTTTCTACTTCAGAATTTCCAAATTGTTGAGAAATAAAATTCCTTATTATTGCCAAGTGCAGTGATGCACATGTGTAATCCCAGCAGCTCAGGAGGCTGAGGCAGGAGGATAGGGAGTTCAAGGCTAGCCTCAGCAACTTAGTGAGGCTTTAAGCAACTTAACAGACCCCGTCTCTACATAAAATATAAAAAAAGAGCTGAGGGTCCCTGATTCTAAATAAAATATAAAAAGGAGTGGAGAAGTGATGGCTAAGTGGTTAAGCACCCCCTGGGTTCAATCCCAAGCACCAAAAAAAAAAAAAAAAAAATCCTTATTGAAGACATTTTAAATTAGGATTTGTTACATGCATTGACACATCCTTACTGGCAGAATACTGGTAGAACACACTACCCTAACTCCTCACTATATCTCATTTGGGCTGCTGAAATTTTATCTGGTCTTTAAGGTTTCAAAGCTAATCGATTTCATATACCTGCTTGCTAAAGATTCCTTTTTTTTATTCTTCTTCCCACCATCCCACCCCCGTACTAGGGATTGACTCCATGGTCTTGGTCATGCTGAGTAGGTGCTTTGCCCCCAGCCCCTTTTAATTTTATTTAGAGAGGATTTCACTAAATTGCCTAGGCTGGCCTCAAACTTGTGATACTCTTGCTTCAGTCTCCCACATAGCTGGGTTTGCAGTCAAGCACCACTGTGCCTCCTGTAAACATTCCTTCTTAAGGAACTCTTTAATCACGTCCCTTGTCTTGTCCAAAGACTTCTAGTAACTTTCCATTGCCTAGAGAACAGTCTAGGCTCAGCATTTGTGGTTTCATGTAGCCCTATCCTTCTTTATAGAATCTGTGTTATAAAGAATTAAGTGCCATCTCTCACATATGACTTTCTCTTTCCCGCTTTGTTCATGTTATCTCTGCCTAGAATGCTCTAGCTTCACCGCCGCCTGTCTGTATGCAATCTTCTTGAAACTTGCCTTATGTCTCCCATTCTACCCTTGCAAGGTACTCTCTCCTCTCCAAGCATCTATGGTATTTATCATCATCTACCTTGCATCGATGTTATTTGTGTAATCTCTTCTGCTAATGCCTTTGAATAGAATTTTCTGCAAAGATAACACATAATTTATTGCACACTTGAAATGTGACTAGTACAACTAAGGGCCTGAATTTTAATTTTGTTTAAATTTAAATACACAAGTAGCTAATGGCTACTGTATCAGATAGTACAGTACCAGACTAATAGGCTCTGGAATGCAATATACACATTTTTTCCCCTATAACCACTACAG